CCGTGGGAACAGGATTCCTAAACAAAGGAAGAGACACAGTTTCTCTGTTGACAGAGGGGCTATTATGAATTAGCTCATACGTTGTTGTTGCTGTCATCATTTTTATTTCTTTATGCCTTTAGTTTGAGGCAGGAGGAATGGCGGCGAGGCACAAAACAGTGAAATAGCTAGTATGTCACCAGTACAGGAGCTAGGATGAAGGAGATATGATTATCTGCTGCTCTAGGAGGACTATCTATCATGATAGTACAAACTTGTCTGCAGGCAACAGTTTGCCTTTTTGAAGCTTATAATGACTTTAACATTGCAGAATGCTATGAATAGTTTTCTTTTATTTCATGTTATCCTGCCCTTGCGGTTTGAATAATATATCCATTGTTTAAAAATATCACACCCAAGAGGTGTCTATCTTTATGTTTTAGTCTTGCATGACTGAAATGCTTTCTGAAATGAGTTAGTGATCAGTTTGCCACTGCTCTCCCATGCTCTCTTAGCACTGTAATTGTGTTAGCCATCCTGCATAGATTTTATTTCTGAACAGCAGCTCTACATGTTCCATTGTGGGGGTGAGGGAATTGTGTTTTTTCCACTCCGTAGTCTGTTCCCTTCTAGCTGAAGTGGATGCCCCTATGGGAACCGATATGACAGGTGTTGAGCTTAGATCAAATATAGATCACAGGCAATATGTGGAAAAACTGATGGCAATCCTGGACCTTCCTTCTAGGAAAAGTATTATAGCCATGCTGAGAATGGGATTAAAATGACTAAAGATCATTATGTGGGGTCAACTTTTATCTCATTAAAGCCCTGCTTTTTTTCTGACACGAGCTGAAAGGCAGCGAGTATCCCCTGGCAGAAAGTGGTGCAAACAATAAAACTGCACAGCAGGCAACAAGCCAGGAGCTCCTGGGACCTAGTCCTTACTGACTTACTGTGTGACCTTGGGTAAGGCATTTCACTTCTCTGTGCTTCCCTATCCTGTAAACTAGAGTTAACTATTGTCTATTGTCTCAAATCAAAGGATTTTAAAATTAAATAGCTGTTAATTTTAGAGCACTGTGAAAATTAAAAGCACTATATTCATGCTAAGGTTTAATTCCTTGCACTGGAATAGTATGCAGATATTAAAAGTTAAGGAGTTCTCACTGAGTCCAAAAGTGCTTGAGATGTGACAATGAGGTGATGATGAGATGAGCTCGGTTTGGGCAAAATAAATTTTCAGGAAACAATTTCCCGGTCCAAAGTGGAGGTACATAACCTGAGCTTGTTGGTAGACTGGATGGGGCACTGGGGAATGGCAGGTTAGATATGGTGCAAAAAGAACAAGAAATATGTTGATGGTCAGAGGTGAAGGTGGTAGCTTGAGTTTGGGTACACAGGACAGTGGGAAGGAGACTCCAGTCAAACTGCGCAAGAGAATAGTTAAGCTAATAGATTGGGCAGGGTAGACAAACAGTGAACCCAGGAAAGAGGTGCCGTAGCGCCATTTTGATCAAGCAGAAAGGTATTTTATGGTTTTGATTTGTTTTCTAAAATGTTTCCCTTGAGAAGCAGATGATTGTTTTTCTACTCTCTGGTCGAAACAACAAGCACTTTCTAGGAAGTGAAGATCTGTATGATTCTGTATGATTCCAGCCACTTGCTGGAATCAACCCCAGATTGGGTTCTGCAGCTTGGCAGACACACATCTGTCTGGAGTCTCCCATTGCCCTTACGCTGTGTGGGGTGCAGAGTCAATCAGGTCACCAAGGTGACCATACAGCCCTAAATTCAGTTGCTGCATAGAAGGTGCCTCAGGCTATGAGGCTGGCAGTTCCATTTATGACTGCTGCACTGCTCGATTTCAAGGGCATTCGAGGGGGGAGTTGCCCATAAAATGCTTTCTTTTAGTGCTAATTCTTGCTTGATGTTTTGGTACTTTGTAATTAACATACATACGCTTTAAGAATTCTTTCTTTCCTGGGTTCTGTCTGTTTGGCTTTTTAGTATTGCATGGCACTTTATTTTGGAGGCTGGAGAGAGCAAAATACATAAACACACATCATGAGAAAAACAGTTTGGTTAATGATGCTTGATGGATGGCAAATGCTCTGTGATTTATGACAGAACAAATCAGCAGAGCATGGTCTTACAAAACACATGGGACAGGTTGAGTAAGGTTGAAGACTGCGCTAGTTGGCAGGCTGGTGAAGTACAGATAATCCCAGTTAAATATGTTTAATAGTTATGCTTCTGTATATGTCTTCCATTCTGTGTGATCCTGTTGCATTTGTCGTCTGGTGGCAATTAAAAGCACATTGGTATTGTACCAAAATGCTTCATTTGTTGCAGGAAGAGGTGTTTTCTCACAGTGCCGTGCAATCTGTACCAGTGTGTAGCAGCATCATTACTTTTCTTATTGTGACACCACCCAGTCATGTGCTGACCAGATGACAGTCATGTCATTGTATTAGTTTGGGCATTGCAAAAAAACAGATTAGTGATTTGGGGCACTTGCTTTGTCATAAAACTTCTTTATAATAGTAGGAAAAATCCTTCAGATTGAATAAAAGTCCAGGACATAACAGAAGGCTTTAAATCCACCCCTTAGGCTCTGTCAAAGACCATCTACTTCCATGTGTAATACATATTGTGCATCTTAAATTTGTGGTATGATTATAGCTTGTGTGAGTACTGGGTTAAGGAATAGGATGAGCAGTGAGCACTGGCTCCTCAGATGTGACGAGTTAAAGGAGTTCTCAGGTCTCGAGTTGTACCATTTGAGTGGCCATTTGAGTCTCAGTGGAAGCACTCCATCTCTGCTTGCGCTGCACTTTTCCCTTGGGAGCCGGAGCTGCCTGGATGTGTTGGCGCCTCCAGCTGTAGATGACTAAATGAAGTGGCGTGGGCTGCTTGCTGTCCGGCCAGCCTGTCCCTGCTATCGCTCCCCATAAACACTGGAGCCTTTGTCTCTGGCCTTATCGTGCCCCTGCCATCACAGAGGCTTTCTGTGCTCTCCTCCCAGTACAGGCCTCTGTGTTCAGGGGTCTTTTCTTCAGCTGCTCTTTGTCTCTCGGTGTTTATTGTGCCTGCTGCAGAGTGTGTTTGTTTGGGAGGGAGGAGGAGGGGCTCCTGTTTGTGTGGGTTTTATAAACCTAGTGCATTCTTCAAAAGAGATGCTGAGCAAACTGGGTGTTGCAAACATTAACCCTTCAGTGCCCTGCATTACTGACATGGCAAAACTGTACTAAGCATTCCTCAGGGTGTGAAAAATGAAGTTGCTTGCTGTGTAAGGCAGTAGCCACGCAGTTGTGCAGTGCAGCAGGGAGTCTGCTCCCCCTTTGATCTTAATTGTCCTTTGACTTTCTTTACGTGTTGCACATGTGCGTCAACAAAGAGAGCCTTCAAATTTGGGGAGACTTAGCTGATTCAAGGTTTTACCTTCAGAGTGCATCTGGAGCTCGTTTTTATGGCAAGCACTGGCTCACTAGCCCCTTACGTTTACTTAATTGACTTGTGCATCCTGTTTGTGTGGCTGCATTAGGCAGTATATTAGCGTTGCAGCATATCCCAAAACTTCATGGCTGTGTACTTTAGGGCTTTTGCTATAGGGTCAGGCCCTGAAGCCAGGAATTTCTTGGAATTCTGATACCAAGCTTTTCTTCCTTGGCTTGTGATGAATCTGTTTTTAATTTATTTTTTTTTTCTGTCTGTGAAGTGGTAGTAATGATTCCACAGTATTGCCACATGTAGCAGCATATAATACTTCTTTGAACCAGCTTCTTTTGTGTAAACTGCTTGTTAATACTTTCGTGGTTAGGATAGCTGTTACTATTTCTTCAGTATCCATAGTGTCCCATGTCCGAACCTGGAACTTTGAAAGATGAAGATCAGCAACTCAGGAACTTTATTTCCCTTGTAATCACATAATGCTTTACCATTGAGTTGGTTAAAAAAAAAAATCAAATCAGCATTGACTTTCTGACTTCCTTTTGTTCTTCCTCCATAAAAGGATGGGAATTTATAACATGAAAAATCTTTTGTCCATCTCTGTGAGAGGCTGCAACAGAATTGTCTTAGTTTATGAATTGCCAGGAGTGACAGTTTTTTGTTTCCGAGACTCAATTTTACTGACTCTGCAGTCAGCACAAGTGTTTCAAACTTTTCTTTCAAATCTGTTCTGCATAAATTGACCACAATGCAAATACATTAGTTTTGTGTATGATAAAATGCTCATTTTTACAAAGCTGGTAAGTTTTCTTAGGTTATTGAACTTTTTGCAGAAATTACAGAATCACAGAATCGTTTAGGTTGGAAGGGACCTCTGGAGATCATCTAGTCCAACCTCCCTGTTCAAGCAGGGTCACCTAGAGCATATTGCCCAGGATCACATCCAGACGGGTTTTGAATATCTCCAGCGAAGGAGACTCCAGCACCTCTCTGGGCAACCTGTTCCAATGCTCTGTCACCCTCCCAGTGAAGAAGTTTTTTCTCAGGTTCAGATGGAACTTCCTGTGGTTCAGTTTCTGCCCATTGCCTCTTGTCCTGTTGCTGGGCACCACGGAGAAGAGGCTGGCCTCATCCTCTTGACACTCCCCCTTCAGATACTTGTACACGTTGATGAGATCCCCTCTCAATCTTCTCTTCTCCAGGCTGAACAGGCCCAGCTCTTGCAGTCTTAATTAATAGGTTTAAATCAGGCATTTCACAAAGTAGCATAAATAATTTTTTTTTTAGATCATCCTGGTTTTGGGGGTTGCAGTTCCTGTATTGCAGAATCTACATATTATATTACTACACTGAGAAAAAGTTAAGCAGTCTGCGTTCTTTTGAGGAGGGGCAGGAGGGAGAGGAGGAAATACAAATAATACAAGCCTTTGTGAAACATGAATCTATACTCTTAGTCATGACTGAACCTATTCTAACATTCAGGTGTTGAGAAGACTTCGCTAGCCTTTTTATTATGTGATTTGTTTTCTTTATGAGCTACCTCAGTTTGCTTCATCTCTTTTCTCTTCAAGGAACACTTTCAACTGCAAAGCGCACAGGGATTCCAGCGCCTCGGGAAGTATCATCATCTGTCTCCAGAGAGAGAGCCGTATTACGTGGTCAAGCCAACTCTAGGAAAAGTCAATCTAGCCCAACCTCTTCTGGTACACCCACTCCTACCAAACACGTACGTCCCACTACCAAGTCCAAGCAAGAGAATGAAACTGGTGACAGAGCCGTTTTGGAATCCCAGGTTAAAGAACTCCTGGCAGAAGCAAAGACAAAAGACTCAGAAATTACCAAGCTCCGGTGTGAGCTGAAGAAATGCAAAGAGAAAGGGTCACATAACCCTGAAGGTATGAGTGCTTCAGACCAAAACTTAGAAACATTATCACCTGTTGACATAGATCCATTAATACGAACCCTTCAGGAAAAAAACAGGACTTTTCAAAAAGAGCTTGCTAGCCTGGGAGAAGAAAACCGAGTTTTGAAAGAGAAGTTGCTTTACCTAGAGAACTCTCCTCTCTCGGACACAACAACAAGCAGTGGAGCTGACAGCAGCCTCCCAACCCCAACCACCCAAGGATCTAGTTTTGGAAGCCCATCAAAAAATGTCTTGAGAGGTGAAACAGATGAGCACCGGCAGCATGTGAATGGGGCTGCTCTGCGCAATTCAGGTTCTTCCAGCAGTGACGTAACCAAAGCTTCCTTGTCACCTGATGCATCTGATTTTGAGCATATAGCAGATATACCTTCTAGGCCGACATCCTCCAATAGCAACAACTTCAAAGGTTCCAGATGTTCCACTACAGGAAGTTCTCCAAACAATATTAGTGACCTTTCTGTTGCATCTCTTACAGAGAGAATACAAAAAATGGAGGAGAACCACCATAGCACAGCAGAAGAATTACAAGCCACTTTGCAGGAGCTCTCAGATCAACAGCAAATGGTGCAGGAGCTGACAGCAGAAAATGAGAAGCTAGTGGAAGAGAAAGCTCTCCTGGAGACTTCCTTTCGTCAACACAGAGATAGAGCAGAACAGCTGAGTCAAGAAAATGAAAAGCTAATGACTCTTCTCCAAGAGAGATCCAAGAATGAAGAAAGCAAAGCTCAGGAGGGGAAGATCCTTGAACTGGAACAGAAATGTGCAGAAGTTCTTGAAAAAGCACAATTTGAAAGAGAGAAATTGCTCAACATTCAGCAACAGTTAACCAGCAGCCTACGGAGCTTAGAAAGGGAGCACCAAGATGCCCAGCAGGTGATTAAAGGCCTGAGAGAAGAAAATGAAAAGCTGGTTAAACTTCTAGAAGTGGAACAGCAGAGCAGCAGCACAGTGGCCAAAACTCTAGAGGACTGTAAAATTACCTTAGAAGGCCTAAAAATTGAGAATGGGTCACTCAAAACTCAGTTAGAAAGTGAGAAACAAAAGGCTGCGGGGATCAGTGCAATGGGATGTACTACTGACAGCTCTGAGATGCAAGAGATGTTGAAAGTAGCCCATGCAGAAAAGGATCAGTTAGAAGTATCTTGTACTGAGCTTAAACAAGAACTGCTGAAGGCAAACAGTGAACTGAAGCATGTTCAGGGTCTGCTGTCTAAGGTAAAACAATAACAGCTGTAAACTATAACACTGTTTATCTGTCCTTTCACAAATAAATAACTGTTGGTCTTTGGATTGTCATTGAGCGGTTAATTGTAAATATCCAAAATTTCCATTGCATTAATTAGTTTTGAATGGAAGCAAGGGTCACATGATATTGCCTCTGTTTCTGCTTCTATATGCATATTTTTCGAGGAATAACTTCTAGCATGGCTGTGTTTATAAATTCAAAATTTTGCTTCCTCTAATATCTTCTGCAAAAATTAGTATTTCAGTGAATGGAAATGTATTCAGCAAAGCTGGAGCAAGAGAACAGATTAATAAAAATTCACTTCCATGTTATTTGAAAAAATATTCATGAAAATCACTTCATAATCAAGTGAGAGAAAAGGACATGAGTAGTTAGCAGCAAGTATTAAATTCTAGATAAATCGTGAAGACAGATTAGGAAGTAGTGAACTATCAATATCATTGGGCATGAGAACACAGGGGCATGAGCTAATGCTCACAGAAGCTGATGTTTACAAAGGGCTCACTAGTGAGGTAGAATCAAGCCCCAGATGAGATTCTTTCAGTAAAACTGAAATATTTTTATGTAACTGAAATTTAGTATTCTGTTTTGGGGTAGGCAAAGTAAAGGCAAAAGAAAGGATTTGTTTTAGAACAGTTCTTCCTCTGCCTTATTTGGTAGCTTGTAGCTTTGCTCCCAGCAGTCTTAAGTCCATTAACGGCTCCATTTTCTATCTGATCCTTGGTGTTCAGAAGACAGCTGCAATGTGGGGCATCATAGAACAAGCATTAATACAGCACAAGCCAGGGATTAAAGTCGCACTGCTGCAGCAGGAGTGGTAGTCGGTATATGCAGCATTTCCTGGATGGGGAAGGGATCATGGGAAGAATTGTAGAATTGGCTTGTTGCAGAGGAAGAGCACATTGCCAAAAAGCACCTCCATGATTTGAGTGATTTAGAAAATCCAGATGTCCTTTCAGCTTAAATAGGTGACCACAGCAAATGGAGTTAGTAGAAGAAGCTCCCTAGTGCTTTTGAGTGCTTGCGGAGCTGCAGTTTATGAAGAATAAATGAAAAACTGCTGAGTGCTCAGCCTCTGTACCAAACTTTTATTGCTTGTTTTTGAAACCACAGATTTCCTCCTTTTTACTCTTCCTCTCTCTTGAATTGATCTGTTTTGCATCACTGGCTATTTGTGACACCCAAGCAAGACCACAGGCTTCTGTAATGCTGCCCTTCGGTCAGGCTGTGCCAGTGCTGCTCACTGAATTGGCAACACATGCCTTACTTTTCCATAACTTGTTCTTGCTCTGAGATCTCCCCCGGTCCTGGAAGCACTGATCTCTGGGCCTGAGCCAACAAACTGAAGTGCAACATCTTCCCCCTTCAGTAATTCCAGATGTGCTATATCTAGAAAATACACTCGTCCGCAGTAGCTAGCTCTGTCACATGTGTTTTGACAATCCATTGGAAATGCCTGTGGTAAAAGCAGCAAAATTGTTAGTGTGGACAAACTGATCATCTTCTGACCCTAAAGCAGTGATATCACTCTCAAATTGTGATACAAGAATAGATTTGGAGCTTTCCAGGAATATCATTCCTCTGTTCATCACCTGCAGAGGCTGCTTTGGAATTACGATCCTTACAGAGGAGACCTTCATTTCCTTTCCAACATCTTGTTGTATTATCTTTATGGCCAGAAAAGAGCACTGACATTCATAGCTCATATGTGTTTCCTGAAACTGTGTCATTAGCACTGAATCTCCTGAATTTATAAATGCTTAGAACACAGGATCTGTTATTAAGTCTGTGGGATGCCCAGTAAAATCTCTGAGTGATGTCTGTTAAGAAACAAAGGCAGATTTGCAGCTTTTGTTCCTCCCTTCCAGGCTGAGAATGAGTGTGGTCAACTGAAGGAGATATGTGACCGGCAGGCTGAGCAACTGAGCAGAACTAGCCAGAAGTTGCAGGAAAAAACATCAGAGAATGAAGCAGATATAAAAAACCTGAAGGAGACCATTTTCGAATTGGAGGACCAGGTGGAACAGCATCGTGCTATAAAACTGCACAACAACCAGCTCATCAGTGACCTAGAGAGTAGGTAGAACTGAAAAAAGAATTTAAGTGAACTTATTCTGGAGGCTCAGTTATGGCTGCAACTTGGAGGAAGAGGCATGTCTTGAGATGTGTAACAAGGGCCTTACTTCAGAATTATTCCTATTTTGGCCAGTCCGTTCTATTCAGGTACATAAATTGCTGTTTGAACCGTTGGTGCTGTAGAAATAATGTTGGAGACAGTCTCCAAGCCTCATTTTTTAGTGGAAGATGTAGAAACCAGAATTATTGGCCTTTGTAAGGAGCATCTAGGGAAAAGTGCTAGTAAGAGCTGGAAATTTGGGTTCACTGTTACAGTGGAAAGGGAGCTGCCATCTGGTGGAATGAGTTGCACATTTTGCTTATCAGTGCTGGATCCAGTGCTCCGTGGGAGTGTGTACTGCATATGTGATCCTGCACATGTGATCCTGTAAAGTCTGAGTTCATGCCTAAGAATAATAACCTATTTTAGGGATGTTTGAGTAGTTAATCCAGTATTCATTCTATTCCTAATCTGTTGACAGAGTATCTGAAGTTCAGTTTAGTCTCTATTAGTGTCGTTATTAGAAGCAAAACCAAGCAGGCTGCTTTGCCCTCCCATTTTCACTTTTGACCCTTGCTCTTACCTGTTTAATAATCTTTTCCCTTTTTGACTTTTCCTAGGTAGAGCAATGAAGCTAGAAGAGCAAAAACAGGATACAGAGAGGCAGCTGAAGGCTCTGACTAAGCAAATGAAGGTAAAGCTCTGACTCCATGACAAAGCTGAACTTGTATTGGAATGCTGGGTTTGAGAGAATTATATTTTTCTATAAAAACTGTAAATAGTTCTTTCTACATCTTTTCATTCTGTATTCTCTTCATTCATTTCTAACTGATTCCTTGCCTGGCAGGGAAAATATAATACATCCTTTGTAAATTACTTTTGCTTTTTCTCCGTATGAATTTCTGCTACTTTGGAAAGGCCATACCTGCTTCATGAAACATCAACAGCAATGAGCTCTTTCCTCTTTTCAGCAACAGTGCTTGCAGTGGTATCACAAGTCTGAATGATCAATAGGTATAGGAAGAACACTGACTGTACTTTTTGTATTGGGGGGATAGCTGAGGGGAATCCTTAGCATCGGTTTCTTGTTTGGCAGTCTTGTCAAAACTGTATGAAGGGGCAAATACCTAATCTGGCCTCAGCATCACCCTGAAACTTTGTTGAAACCCTGGTCTCTTATGAAGGCTGAAAGGGTGATCAGTAACTGATAACGTGCTCAGCTCAGGTAGGTGTGTTTTACAGCAAGCACTTTTAGGTTGTAATTGCTCTTTCTAGGAAGATACAGAAGAGTGGAGGCGTTTTCAAGCTGATCTGCAGACTGCAGTGGTTGTAGCCAATGATATTAAGTGTGAAGCCCAGCAGGAGCTGCGTGTGGTAAAGAGGAAACTTCAGGAGGAAGAGGAGAAGACTGCCAGACTGCAGAAGGAGCTGGATGAAGTGAAGGGCAGTAACAGGTTGGTTACTTACAAGGACCAAGATTTCATCTCTGTGACGGCTAACATGCATGCAAACAGTGTTTTGTCAGTAACTATTCGTTGGCTTGAATGTGTGTATTGTCTGTTTTTAACTCTTCTGACAGGTGTTACTGTGTTTTATTCTAAGATGTTTCTGTTCTTTTTCTTTTTGGTGACCTAGTTCTGTCAAATAGGCCATGAAGGTTTTAATCAGCAGATATTGATTATTTAATAACAATTGCCAATAACCCTCATAGCTTTGTTCCTTATACTCTATTATACTCTTCCATTCTCTGCACAGCTATATTAAACCATCTGTGAAAAGTTTGGTTGGCTGCATATATTTAATGGGACATCCAGAAGAGAACTACTTAATCTGAAAGGAGAACAAGGATTGTATATGTCCAAACTAAAATGAGAGCTAGCTGGACAACTTTGTTCTGCAAATCTGAAACGTGTTGGCTGAATGATCAGTGCAAGTACTAGGATTTCCCACTTTGTATCTCCTGTCCTTAATTTGAAACTTACTGTGTGATTAGCCATGTTAAATGGTCTGAACCATGGTCTGAATTAACATTTAGTGCAGAACGGATTTCCTAACACAGTGAACCCACTTGCTATAGTCAGTTGCTATAGTCTCAATCGTTGGAGGGGGAGTAGTAAATACGACGGTAGAGTCTAGGATCCTGTGAGCTAAAGATACCACCAAGCATAGTGAGCGCTATATGTGCGGCTTCCCTCCCTGGGAACATGGTAAGAACAAAAGCGACTGATACAGTTGAAGCTGGAAACGATACTATGCCTTTCAATGTGTCTTCTATGCAGTACAGGACCTTTTATGCAGCCTCTTTCATTCCAAAAGTCATACTACAATTGTCATACTAAACAATATGAGATGAAAATGGAGATGCGTTAGAAAGAAGAACTAAAATTTATATTGAAGGTAGCGCTCTGCTCTTCTATTGCATGGGCACAAGCTGTGCCAGAGCTGCAGAGATGAAAATTTTGTACAAGGTGAATGAGGAAAGACGAAATAATGAAGACAAATAATGAAACTGTTTACCAAAAATATGTGCCAAATTAGCTTTGCTACTCTAGATTGTTCCAGTTAATCTCTCTCCCAGTAGGTCCATGGCAACTGATAGAATAGGAACAGGAACATGGTGAATCCTGTCATTCCTTCCAGGTGGAATAACAGTCCAGCCTATGTTCCTTGTATTTTCTCAGTTTTCCAGTCAAGAGTTTCCACAGAAGCTGTATGATAGATGGGAGTAAAAAGATGGGAGGGATTTTGTGTGGATGTGTATGGATCAGATTTGCTGGATGGAAGGAATGAAAATACTTTTGCAGAAAAACAAATGCGTTTAACCTCCAGTTTCATTATCAGAATTCCCAGTGTATGCAAAAAAAGCTGCTACAGCTGCTACAATATATTAAAACCAAACGATTACCCGGCAGTACTTAACTTCTGGGCTCTGTTTTCATTCTTCATCTATTCTCAGTGAGATTTCTGTTATTCAGAGCAGGGTAAGAAACACAACTACTTTTCCCAACGTAGATGTTAATTCATATGTAAAGGCAGAAATCATAAACTTGTTATTTCCCTCTTTATTCCTTTGTACATTTGGGAATGTATGTAATTTGTTTAAATTGAGTAGAAGATGACCTGTTCATTTGCAAACTGGGATGTTTTTCTTCCATGTATAAGGAACATGGCTGCACTGTCAGCTCTTTGGCTTAAGAAGCCTGAGCTGTAAAAATTGCTTTTGAAATCAGATCCCTAGAATCTGTATATACATAGTTTCAGAAGGACATATTCTGACATATATTTAAGTCAAATTTGGCATTTGTCTCTCTCCGTCTTTCTCATGTATATATATATATATATATAGAGATATGTGTTTGTCTTTTGTTTTTGTTTGACTATCTGTCTAGCTTGCTTGGACTATTACATTGAAGCTGAAGGCAAAAATACCATCTACAGTGGGAAACATATATTCTCTTTCAAAGACAGGTGCTGAGCTCAAATTTTGCATCTGTCAATTTAGGTATAACAGATTTGACTGGGTGTGTCACAGTGTCTATGCAGAGAGTATTTAGACAAAATTTCCTCATTAAGCGGTATGGAGAAGATAATGAAGCCTATGTAAGTCTTTGCCTGAACAACCCAGTGATCAACAGCTAAGCAGTGAAATTTTAAAACTCTGCTCACCTTTTATAAAACAAATTCTTGGAGTCCCCAAAGCTACAGCTGAGATCCAGTTCTACACTCCCAGTTATTCCTGCATTCCTGAGGTCACCATCCTCCCCAGCATCACAGCTTCTTTTACCCTGAAAGCTCTGGGGATATTCTCATTGTTGCTTTAGTCAGCATTCACAAATGTTGCTGGTCAAAATCTGCAGTGGATTCTGGTACAGGTGGTGACTTTTAACACACGCTCAGCACTGGTGGAAATGGTTTCTAGCATGATACCTTAGCACAGTCTACCAAGTATCCCTCATATTTGCTAATGCTGAGCAGCTGTACACTCAACTGAATATCTGGCAGTCCCTGGTGAAAGTTTCCTGACCAATTTCTAAGCTGACTGGAAAATGTACTTTCCAAATAGTTTACTCCTCAAAGGTTTTTTTGGCAAAAACTCAGCCATCTCTTGAGGGTCATTAGACTCCACCTTGTAAATTGATCTCGAAGCCAATTTATCTCCTACGACATCCTGCCATTATAATGTTTGTCTGTGGCTGCCTGAGTTCCTGCCTCCAAGTTTGATTTCACCGTTACAGTCTTCTAATCAGACAAAAAGTCATTTTTGGTTCAGGAACAACCAAAGAACTTGCAGAAAAAGTCCAGATGTGGTCATCAGAGTTCATCTGAATGAAGGTAAGAGCCTCCCAAAGGCATCTTTAACACAGATTAAATGTCTAATTCTATGACTAGGAATGCTGGGGGGGGAGGTTGGACCAGCATCAAACAAGAAATGGACTAAGGAGAGGAGTTCATTTGTCTCAAATTAGTACTGATTGAAACCTACAAATTGATTAACTCACATGTTTTGGACAGTCTTTCATGATATTTTACATCCTAATTAATGTTATTTCTCTGCAATAAAATAGAAGAGCTTACAATCCACCATTGTGTAGCTGCTTCCCCGGAAGTGATGGGTACTGAGGTTACGCAGTCTCCATCCTTGGAGGTTTTAATGACCAGACTGGATAAATCCCTGAATAACCTGGTCTGACCTTATAGCTGACCCTGCTTTGCACAGGAGGTTGGACTAGATGACCTCCTGAGGTCTCTTCCAACCTGAATTACCCTATGATCCTGTAGTAACTGGCCTCCTTTCAGAAAACTTGCCTTGGAAATAAGCTATTTTTTTCTAACTGTTTTAGGAACAAATATTTAAGTGGTGAAAAAAAAAAGGTATATTGGGTCTGTAAGGCAAACGAAAACAATTATTGCAAGAATTACCTTAATTAAGGATGGCCCTCTCTGGTTCCATACGTTTCCAAGCCTCTTCTAGCAATACAGTATTCAGCAGCCATGAAACTTTAAAAGTCTTTCTTTGACTCTTTTCCTCTGTCTCCAAGTTCTCAAAATGATTTTGCCATTCTGTGTCTCACTGCATGTGCAGTGGTAGTATAACACTAAGTGCCATGAACCAAGAACATGGAGAGAAAACAGTTGACTTGGGAGTAGTACTCAGAAGACAGAGAAATGATATCCAAAATTAAATGAGCAGTTTCCTAGAATAATGAAAAAAGCTAACCAAATCTTCAAAAGGAGAATTGTAGTGCATCCCACTAATTTGCTTCTGTTCTTCCTCCTCAAATGCCACAGCATGGCCAGTGTTACATGCTTTTTCTCCTGGAATTAAGCTTGTACTCTGTGTGTATTAAAACCTGCTGTCAGTTTATATGTGCTGATGTGCTGCTTATTTGTGCTTGTGTTTTGCAGCTGTTCTGTCTTACAGAGATCTCATCAGTTCATTCTGCTCTCACTTAAAATGAGCAAACTAGAATGTCAGAGCAGGGTCCTTGCTTATTTACTATACTTAGTCACTCCTCAGGGTTTTCAGTTCAAATGCAGATTATTCCAACCCCTTTGGCGTAAGAACTTTGAAACAGAAACTCTGACTGAGGTAGAGAAATTCTAGTTGCCTGGGCAGGTTCACGTACCCGGTTTGAATGAATTGTACTAACTGATGAGAGGAGAGGAAAGCCAGGAACACTGCCATCTCTGTCCTTTGAAATTGATTCCCTATCTCTACATATTTAATTTCTTCCTATCCAAGCAACATAGATTTTCTTGTATTTTGTATTGTCGTTTGCTCATCATGCCCCAGAGTGGTAAGACATTTCTTCAAGACTGCCCTAACACCACCACCAGCATTTCCCTTTTTCCTCTTTATTTAGTGATGATGGGATGATTAGCTGTAAAATACTGAGAGCTGTACCTCACAATAGGCATCATATTGCTTCTTATAACTTCCCCCACTGTTATCTGTATCTCCATAGGTGCCTGATCTCTACCAGCTAACACAGCCCTGGATGGAAGCAAAGCCAGGCCTGTGAGACACTTCAGGACCTGCCTTCAACTGGAAAGGGAAGTTTCAATTGGAGAAAGCACCTCCAGTTTATGATTGCCCTGCAAAAAGCACCTCCAGTTTATGATCGCAAAGTGTGAATGCTGTTCAGGTCCACCTTCTCCCCATGGGCAGAAGCCTATATCTTTATTTCAGAAGGCTTCCCTCTTCAAAGACTCCTTGAGGCGGAAAAAGTTCTGAATTCATTTAAAACCAACTAAGCCGTAGGAAGTAATCACAGAGATTTTGGAGACTGAAATAACTGATGGCTGCTTCTGGAGGAATAGGGATGTTTTCCCTGAAACAGATATTCAAACATACCATTTTAAGTTTAAACAAAAAGGAAATTGAATGAGTATGTCTAATTTGTAAAATTTAATGCACATACGCATTATGTATTCTCCATATAATACTATATTCATAGATCTATATGTGTGTGTCTAAATATACATATCTATAGAGATCTGTAGGTATAGATGCACAGACAAACTCAAGTGATTCCTGGGTGTGCAGCTGAGTGAGTTGCACATGGAAATTAGGCTACTGAAATCCAACAGGAAAATTGACTAGAAACATAACATTGCTTATTCAGTGTCAACTGCTTTCATGGGTTTTTGATATTGCATTGACAACGCACTCGCCACCAGGTGGGGTGTCCGGCTCAGTGTGCGTTAGGAAGAGCAGGGATGCCCAAGCAGCACGTCCTGCTTTGGCTTTCAGCAGAGAACATCCCATGTGAGGTTTGTCCTGGCTGTGAGAATTACTAATAGAGATCAGGCAGAAAGTAAGTGAATATATCAAGCCCCTAGTAAATATCCTCTCAGAAGGAGTCATTCTCTTACCCTAAACTCGGGTGAAATATATGATCAGGGAGAATTTGCTTGTGTTCAGTTTTGCAACTGGAGACACCTAGAGAGAGCTTTACTTGGATGCTAAAAAGAAAATAAGAAGTTGCCATCTCTACCAGGAGACCATTAGGATTCATTCTAGGACTGGAACTTCCTGTCTTGGCTGTAAGGTTCCCATCCTTTCCTCCTGGACGTGAAGACCTAGCAGGGGCCTGGTCTCAGAGCAGGCTAAGCTAGAGAATTCTGAGAGCTGTCATGGCTTTGACATGACCTTTGCCTTTGTGCCATGCTATAGGAGTGTATATACATACACATACTTGTGTTGCCTTTCTTTTCCATGCTGGCAGCTGTTGAATGTTGGTTGTTTTTTTTTTTTAATGTTTAAGAAATATATATTGAAGTGCCAAATAAATGTGTAAGTGTCTGGAATTTTCTGCTGCCTGCTCTTGGCCTCTCTTCTGTTCTGTGCATCAGCAGCTGTGTGTATCTCTTATTTGTGTCCCTTGGAGTTCAGGAGGATTCACAACAACAATGCCAGGAACTGTGTCAAAGGCTAGCTTGCAGAGCAATTATTCCTGAAAATGTGGTTCTGGGATCCTAGGGCACTGGTGTTGAAGAGATCATCAATGTAGTTCAGAAATTTCTGAACACAGAAAGGCTGCTGTTGCCAAAATCCATACATTAAACACAGTAAGGTTTACACCTTGTTGGCTCTGTTGTCTCTATCCAAACCTGGCAAACAAACAGACTAACTCTTACCATTAAAGAAAAGCTCACTGCACTACTTCTCTCACCAAGGAATGAAACTAGTCAGTGGTTGTGTGAAGAGGGTTCTGCACATTTGAATTCCTTTATAGCTAAAGTGCTGTGCTTCTTCCTGGAGCTGCTCCACTTGAGCCAGCTGCACTTGCAGCTTTTAGCTATGTAAAGCATTCATCCTTTTTTCAAGGAAAGCATACAGCCATAGATGACAGTTTTTCTCAACTCCATCCTCTCTGTATCAGGGCTGCATTAGTCTTCCTGGATGGCCTGACCTGTACTAAGCTAAATTAATTCTGTACACTAGGAGTTATTTTTGGTTTGAAGGTATGGCTCATCATTAATCTTTCTAAGTCATGTTCTCCTATACTGCCCTCCTGAATTTAATGCAAGTTGTATTCTGCTTCTGTTTTTATTTTTTTTGTAAACATTTGTACACATACGTGCTTCCCCTTATCATACAGATTTTTCTCTTTAAAAATGAAAAGTACTCACCAAGTTTTGTAACTCTGCATTGCTTGTTTGCTTGCCTGTATGTTAGTTGAAGCAAATAGGTTTCATCACTATTCTACATTGCTTTTGTGCTGAGATTTGCAACATGAGATGCCTCAGTTTTCTGAAGAGATTATGTTTAAGAAGTTATTTCAAAGTGCATTATAAGCCTATTACAAATACTTAGATTACAGGAAGCGTCCTAAGAAAACTGGAACCATTAGCAGCTCTAGTACTTGCATTTTCGCAATTACTTTGTACAATGACAGTATAGCGGTATAAGATTTCTTGGATTTTTCTCTGGCGTGGCATAGGGGCTGGTGGTGTTACTCTATTTCACATTTGCGTCCTTTTGCAATCAAAGGCTGACTTGAGGCGACTCTTCTGTGAGATGTGAGCTGTTCTCAGAGTTTAATTCTGACCCCAGTGATTTGTAAGTTAGTTGAGCCAGGAAGATATCACATTGGCAGCCATCCATCCTTTATAATGTGTTATGTTACCACTTGGTATAGTTTCTTTCTGTCCGAATGAAATCTAGAACCAGCTCCCACTGTCCTGCTGATGTGATGGCTGCCCGGAGCATACCTTTGGCTTGCTTTATTCTCAAGATTTACCACTTTGCCTACAGGCATTTACTATTCCTTTCTTACTCTGATAGTATTTCACATACCTCATTCATAGTCTCCCTACCTGGATAACTAGACAGAGCTCTTGCATAATGGTGTATTTAATTCCTGAAAATGAAATGGATTGCATTGGATGGCTTGGCATCCTGGGGCAGAGCTCTATTCCTCCCCCATACTTTATTAGAAGAAGAACTCCTTTAGCTTTTGTGTTTTCCTATAAATAAAGTGCAGATGCTATTGCCTGTTGATTTGTTATTTATGTTTGAAGCCATGGAGAAAAAAATGAAAGGTAGAAGTTAAAGTTAGTCAGCAAAACACTGGCTCCCTCAGAGCTCAGTGAAATCTCACCCAGTCTGCCTGTGCTCTTCATTGGTTTAAATGGAGAATAGAAATGAAATTACTTTTTCTCTAGCCATCTGCCTCCGCAGGCTTCCCTGGCACACAAGGAGCTTGAATGAATTACCAAAGAAATAGCCAATGTCTGTTTAAAGACAGCACCTCCTTAAGCTCTGCCAAAAATAGAAGCATGAGTCACTCATTCTCTTATTCATTGACACCCTTTAGCCCCTTGCATTTTGTAGGCAGTAATGCCAAAAGGAGGGGAGGGGGAAGACTATGACTTCTATTTTTAGCTCAGCAGAAGTTGTTCAGCCTTTTAGGCACTTTTTTGATGGAGTCCTTTAGCCCTCTTCTGAAATCATTGCTGTTTTCCTGTTCACGTAGCATACCCTTGGTGCATACCCTACTTCAGAAGAGGGGAAAGTAATGGTGCCCCGGAACCTGTAGGTCAGCATGCACTTCTTCAGCAGCTGATAAATCAGGAGAACAATATAATAAAGGCTCTCTTTTTAAGTGACTAGATGTTGTTATCCAATTGCAGTGTTCCTAAATTAAAACCAGATAGTTATGCTCAAAGTCTGCCCTGAGCACTACAAGGTAAGTACAGAGCCAGCTCTAAGCACAGCCAGCTGGATCCATAAAATGTATAACCAGAAGTGTCATACAGTTATACTAGATAATTACATTTGCTATTTAACACAGCTCTGGACTTTACTGTACTAATTCCTGTAAGTCCAGCGTCTAATCTTGACTTGAAAATTTCCCATCAATGCAATAACTTAATGATCCTTACTGTTAAAATGGAAGCCTTATTTCTGTTTAGAATTTGTTCATCTTTACTCTAGCAATTGAATTTTATTATTCTTCTGTATGCTAGGATGAAGCATTTGTTATCAGTTTTATTCCCCTGCTTATGGATTGTGATTGAGGATTTATTTGCTCAGCATACCTTGTTGATTAGCTCTAAGATTTGAGTTTCCAAAGTCTTTCATTATAAAAAATACTTTCTGATTTGATTTTCATGGCCCTTGTCTGAACCCTGTCCAATATATTATTTTGTTTTCATCTGTAGCATTTTAACTGGTAACAATTACTCCAGTTTTCCCTTTGTTTATTTTCCTGTTTATACACTGAGGACCACATTAGCCCCTTGGCTCCAGTGCTGTACTGAAAGCTTGTGTTCAGGTAATTATCTATGATTACTCACAAGTCATTTTCAAAACTGCTTCTTTCCACGATAGCCCTCCATCCTGTGTGAGCACAGGGAATGGAATGGGCATGATATGGTTAACAACACAAAAAAGTTTGAGAGACTCAACAACTTAATGTTTGCCAGAAAAATATTTCTCTAGAAGGCTTAATGTTTCTCCGGAAAAAGAACATGAACATTATAATAATGAGTGGGTCCATGTTATGGGCATTACAATAAAAGATGTACATTGTTGGGTTGTCTTACTACATATAAAGACCTTTAAGCTCTGCTTGCCCTTGCGGTTGCCACTGACTTTGATTTGGTTTCTGCTTTGCAGGCTGACAGCTGAGGAGGTAGAATCCCTAGAAGCAGATACGACCAGCCGCTGGCAAGGAGTCTTTATTAGCAGAGCACCTCCTTCACCATCAGAATCTGCAGCCACTGTGAAGTCACTGATCAAATCATTTGACTTAGGATGCCCAGGTATTTGAACACTGTATTTTGTAGTTAAAAAGCCTTCTTGTAGCAGTGAGCAGCTAATTTTTGTCATTTTGTGCCACCTCTTCCTTCTTAATGGATGTTTTCTGTCAGTGCTTGGTGCATACATACTTTTGTGGAATGTCACTATGTTAGTGATTGCTGTTCTGACATGAGTGACAAAGGAGATGAGTTTGAAATACAGAGGTTTCCATGATTTTCCCCTGCAGGTAGCACTGGACAGAATATCCCTGTTCACAAGGTCCCCAGGAGCCCTCTAAGTGGAATTCCTGTGAGGACAGCCCCGGCAGCTGCTGTTTCCCCCATGCAGGTACAAGGATCTCTTTCTATCATTGCAGAGTTGAAATGAGTAGATGCAGCATTCGCTGCAGCGTGACACAGCTTCAGCATGCCAACATGCATATGTTGACAAGGGGAAGGGGAAACTCATCTGTTTATTTGCTGTGGAACATCAAACACTGTAGTTCTAACAAAAAGGATCAAAGTGAGTTTGCCTTTGTCTTCAGCTCGGGGTCTTGGTGGACGGATGTAAACTCTTTGGAATATGGTTCTGAGCTTTAATCACTGTTGACCAGAAATGTAGATTTTGATCATTGGGAGTGAGTTATGAGAAGCATCAGATTAAGCTAGGTAGTTGGCAGGTGTCTTGAGAGACAAGGGATACTAAGTTCTGAGGATGTATGTTCCTAGTTATCCAGTAAGTCCATATACCTCTGACTGCAGAGCTCTTACACTTTTTTTTTTTCTCCTGGCGCATAACTGTTCTGGAATGAAGTACTTCTCATGTCACAGCATTGGTTAGTTAGTTAACTTTCTGTTAGTAACTTTCAAATCTGTGGTGCAATGTTTTTGGAAATACTCCTTTTGTGAATGATGGAAAAGCAAATGTGCTGTGCTTCCTGATTTCCACTTAGGCTGAAGGTAGCATACCAGCAGACTGCTAACCTTTCTAGGCTAGAGAAGCCACTGTACGTTTTTTGACTGAATAAACCAGTCACTGTTCTAAATACATGTCTGTAGATGTTCCATATACAACTAAAGCCTTTATAAATCCCTACAGGGTAGCTTTAGAGACTGATTGAACAGTGTTTCTTTTACTGAGATTTGCCTATATAAGGAATAAAATAGTTATCCACCTAAAATCAATTAGCCTCATAGCTATTAAATAGTACCCTACTTCAAATCAGGTAAGCTTTGATATCATCTACCTTATTTTTTACCTTCTCAGGAAGAGTAGATTGTTTTCCTTATCTGTTAAGGCCAAGGCCCTGATGTTTGATTTTGGTCATATATTCTGTAAAATAAAATTAATACTGGCATACTGTTTGAATACTAGCAGGTAATGTAAATACATCTAAAAAGAAATAAATGTCATTCTATCACAAGCTATAATTGGTTCATTCATTGCTATAAAAGGCAGTTTGTATGGTGGCAAAGGTCCTTGTCCCTGCCTTGTTGTCTGCAGTCACTTCTCAGGAAACTGAAGAGCTGGTTTTCCATCCTTCAGTTGTGCTGCTGATTTTATTTATATACATACATGAAGCAGCTTGAGGTGTTTTCCCAGTTTAAGCCAACTAGGATCTGTTTACTAAAAATTATGACCAATTTTGTCCTAAGCAGGGTCAAAGGGCAGGCTACTAGAATTATATCAGGAAATTTCCCTCTGAATCCTGGGAAAAACTAGTTGTGAGGCCGTGGCATTAGAGGAGTGTTCTGAAGAAAGGGGTGACTTTGAAAGAGTACTTAGCAAGCGTGTGAGCACATTTCCTGCAAAGAATCAGCAGAGGAAGTTTAAAGAATGGGATTAAACGGATGTCTGGGAACCTTCTATTAATGCCTGCCTGAGCGGGTATTAATGCTGAAAGCTGGCACAGGGGCTGCAGAGACAAGAATCTTTCTGATGTCTGATTCAGGATGCTGGGGACAGAGCCAGTGCTAGGAACAAACTTTCTTGCTTTGGGCTCATGACACTAGATTATGTTTGGCAAAAGAAAAACCTGTGCAAATAAAAATGAGAATAATTTAGGAACCAATGTATTACCAACTAAGAATATTTTCCCTTTGTCCTTTTATTTTTTCACAACTTTTTAGGCAGATCTTTGTACAAGGTGATACCTCACAGAAAGCTTCCTGTTTCCCTCCGCCTGCTTTGTGGTGTTGAGATAGCAGAAGCATCTCTTCTTTTTGCTTACCCATGTAAGCATGGTGGCTAGTCTTGATTGTTTTTGTACATTTGTTTGTTTAACAGAGACATTCTGTTTATAATAATGGAAAAACAGCCAGCAAAGGAGTTGCCAGACACACAGATCTTTCAGACCTTCCTCTTGCAGGTAAATTGCAATAAACACACAAATATTGCCTCTTTGTTGCCAGCAAAAGCTTGTCATTAACTCTTTGCCCCTGTCTGGGCCATTTTTCCACTTCGTGTATGGTCAAAGGAGACATGAAAAGTGTCTTTAAAGCCTCTGTTTTAGAGATCTTACTAATTTTATGTTGCTTCCATTCCCATCTTTGTCATAGCCTTAGGAAAAAAAAAAGAAAGAGAAGAACTGATATGCTATGCTTTGCCAACACAAACTCAGTGTCTTTATTCCAAAATATCCATGGCACCTCTCTAATCCATGCAGTGGAACTGGAGAGGATGGAATTTTGTTCAACATGTATGTATCTGGAACAAGTACGAAGTACTGTCTTTTGGGGGTTTGTTTGTTTTTAAATTGGGCTTCATTTGAGATATATCAAACATTTCAAATACAGATGCAACTGTTTTAGGACCAGTCACATTTGGGCTTGAAATAGTTTGTTTTGAGAGCTCTCACGAGATGCATTTATTTTTATTTCAAGCTTTGCTTTTGTTCTCTTGTCATATAATATTCTTTTCTACCACTGCTTCTTTCCCATTTTCTCTAGAGCCCTTTGTTTTGATTATCTAGTGATGAATATAGCTGTTGCATCAGAATCAAAGCTAATAACAATAGATTACTGTTTTTTTAAGGCCAGAAGAAATATTATATTCATCTAGCCAAACCTCAGTGAAACAACAGGAAAGGACAGAAAATCAGTCATAACTTTCATTGGTAGACTGGATTTTCTGCATTAGTTTGCTAGCACAAGAGATAAATTAGAACATGTCTTCAATTTTAGACTCTTAAGATAATCTGCTAAGATTCCACTTTCAGCATTCAAAGATGAAGGAGATACTGGATCTGAACAGGAAACCAGGTTATAGCAAATAACAGCATCCTGTCTGTGCTACTGGCTTCTCCCGCAAGAGTGAACACTAAGAAAGCAGAACAAACTGCATTTACTTGTTTGTGTCATTTGGCTTCCAGAAAAATGTCTTGCATGAATATGTTCTCTGATCTTAAACAGTACATAAGACCATTTTAATCTCTACCAATTTACTGTACAGTGAAGTAATCTGTCAACTGTGTAATGTAATGCCAGTAATAAATATCCCACTTCAGGCCATGGATACTTGCTATTATTGTCCTGTGGACAACTGTTCTGTGAAAATCTACTGAAATCAACATATATTTTTATTAGCCATTGTATGGTCTCTTATCTAACAAGTTCCCATATCTACAGCTTCTCATTGTACCTGTGTTTGATTTAGTTCCAGTAATCCTCAGCAAAGGCTTACTATAAAGTTGTAATAGCTCTGGTTCCAATCTAAATAATCCTAGAAGGCAGTTGATCCAAGCCCTATATGAACAACACTGAATTAAAAAATATCCCCAAGGAAATTCAGAATGAAGTAGTTTCCATGATAATAATCTGGCTGGTTCCATCTGACTAGCATCACAGCAGGGTCCGGTCACCCAAATGTTACATGGTTGAGGAGGAGGATGGATTACTTAGTAGAGAGCTGATTTTTGGCTAAGATCTTTTCAGTGAGAATCAGAAGTTTACTGGTTCTGTCCTGGAATTTCTAGCAGATTTTTGCTGCCAGAAATAAGTCAAAGAATGTATATTACTCATGCAGGTGAGACTCAAAGTACAAGGATGGATACTGTTATTTGTACCACTTAGGCACTACTGTATAATTCAAGCCAGTAACCACAGTCTCTTTGAACAGTGCAAATAGATGGATCTAACAGGATGTGATTATCCTTAATCATGTTTCATATTCTTCATATGATTGTTCACCCATGTCTCTTTCCAAATGTCTCCTAATATACCTTTATCTTCTTCCTCTTCTATTTGCTGCTAGATATTTCCAATAGCCTTTATTCCTATCTGACATCCTTTCTTCTCCTTCTGTTTTTTGTGCTTTCAGCATGAATGCATCCTGACTGACTGGCACAGAATTTTCTAATTGGGCCATGCCATTAGCCAGGCCAGTTATGTTAATGACAATTTTAAAATGCATGTTTTGGCCATTCTTAAAGGCTAGTGAGAAACCTTCATTCCTCTTTATAATATTCAAATTTTATTTATTGATATGCCTTTATGGTAGATCTCTTTCTCTAAACAGAATATTCATATGTTTAAGAAGTTGCAGAAGTCATTCATTGGATGCCTGTCTGGTTGGTGTGGCTATTTACATTTGAGACATTTGGGAGAAGCATTTGAAAACTCCCCATAAATCCAACAGAAAGAGGAGCTAGAAGAATCATAAACACATGGAATATATAATGGAAAACTGAAAAAGACATGAAAGCAGCTTTCTATACTGCATTCAAATGGCAGAGGGGTGATATATCAAAATATTCATACACAGAGTACCTGGGGAAATACTGCCCTGGTTTGGAGGAGAGAGTCTCCCTTTGCATGAAGTTTAGTGTTTCTATTTCCCATTTTCCAGGATATGGTGGTTTAAAAATATGCTTTGTGCTACTTCTTGCTTGTTGTCGATTCATTGTGCATACAAAGAAGGGACAGGAGAGTGAAGGGAAGGATGATCCTGACTGAGCAAGGTGTATGCAATCCAGCATAACAAAGCTCTGCCAAAGCCCAGTTACTGCACTGGAAGCAGAATCTTCTGGGACCTGATTCTGTCCTCCTCCATCTGGACTCCTTAGTAGATGGGAACCTAGCAATCCTTTCTGCTGCACTAGAGGAGGTGCAGAACTGCACCTCTCTGCAGCTCTGAGCAGCTGCAAACGCTGCTTTTGTCTTACCACTTTCAGGAGTCAAGGCAAGGGCAGCTTGCATGCCTATGGTTACCATAAACCATTTGAAAGGATGAATTTATTTGACAACTGTTAGTACACCCCAACTGAGAAGAAATTTAGGACTAATTCAGTGATACCATGCATTGCTGAAGCTGAGATGAGGAGAAATTCACAATAGGGAGGTAACTGAAAAGGAGGAGAAAAAGTTAAACGTTTTGCATTCAGTTTTATTTCTGACACAAGCTCATATTGTCCTGGCTATAGATACTGGCTTGTTGACTATTTGTCTACAGAAAAGCAGCAGCCAACTTTCCCTGTGTTATTCACCATTCTACCTCATGACTGATATGTATGGAGAGATAATTTGATCTCCATGATGTCTTTGCCGTTTCTTTGAAGACTTAGTATAAATGGAACCCAATGTTGATAATTTTGTTGATTTATTTATACGTATCTATATACATATACACATTTTTACAGATACACACACACACGTGTATATATATATATATATAATAAAAATACAGATTCAGCTGCTAAGAATGTATTGCAGCTTCTCAAAGTCAAGTTAGATAGGATGCCAAGCACAAGTTATAATAAATGTTTTTTACTGCTGCTTTGAGCTGGGTTGTATTCAAGAGGTAAGAGGCTTTCTTGTTACAATTTTACTAATGGCAGAAGAAAAATTTTTATGCTAGGTCTGGTCAGTCATCTGGTGGAGATATCTGGGGACCAGCTTTTGAACCTTTAAGACTGTAGATTTTGGTATTTCCCCTCATTCACCTGAGGCCTCTACCCCCCAGCAGGAGTATCAATCACAGGAAACTAGGCAGTCTGTACTGTTGAAATCATCAAAGCTATTCCTTGTTATGATCACCTCTAATCTGCTCAAGGTTTCCTAGCCCCATGTGTGTTTAATGAACAAATGAGTACATTTGTTTAGAATCAAAACAACAGACTACATATTGTGTGCTGGGTGGCAGGACAGTGATTAATCAAATTCCTCAGACTGCAAACTGACAGCTTTTTTTTATTCCCACAGACCTTCTGAAGGGGAGAAATGAAGAGCTGAAACCAGACCATTACCTCCGCAAAAGCCCTTCCCTGGAATCCCTGAGCAAACCCCCTGTGGCCTTCAGCAGCAGAATGCTTGCTTCCACCCCCAGCAGCTTGAAACCCCAAAGCAAACTCAGGTACCAACTCAGCTGGCTGGGAAAAACAGCATACTGGAAAGATTGACAGCATTACCTGGCACCAAGATAAATGTTGTAGTCTAGTGGACCCCTGTCTCTAGAGGAAACATTGCTGCTTACTCTGTCCAGTGCCTTCCCAATCAGATAGATGTGTTCTGAGTTATCAGGCTATGTGAGCTATGCCAGGTCCAAATATCAAAATTCAGATTATAATAACCACAATTATCTATAAAATGAGCAATCAATTTAAACTGAGGATAGCAATTTTTCAGGAGCCACTTACTGTTCTGTGCCAGAATCTGTCATACACCAGAGGTCAAACCCCACTATTGTACTGCAGCTTTGCATATAATTGTGAGTTAATGCTAAAAGCTTTGCTGTCTAAGGGAAAGCCAAAGTATGGATTTAGACACATAATTTTCTTCTGCCTTGGGAAAATGTATGTTTTCCTCTGAACTCCACCGTTACTCCTAATAGTAGAAGCTGTCGGGTGGAGACAATTCAAGTATTTTGATTGTTGGCCTTTAACTGTCTTCTAGGCCTTTGCTGCGATACAGCTTCCAAATTTTACTGTTTAATGAAGAACTCATTCCATAGCAGCTTGATTGGGTGTGAATTTGCTGTTCCATATTCTTTAGGTAGCATCTTTCAATTGTTCACCCTAAATCCCAGTATTCTGTGTGTAAAGCAAAGAGGTTACTTGAAAATTTAATGCGCAAAGCTGATGAAAGTAATAGCAAACATGCTGGGTTAAAACATACCATCTGGGGGACATATTTTCAAATATCCATGTATTACCGGTTTTTTTCAGCTTTCTGCATGCAGTGGTGCCAACTGAGTTTATCTCATCTGAAGACAGATAAAGAATATACTCTCTGAAAGTTATCATAGTTACGCTTTCATTCAGGTTCTATGGTGCCATCCTGCTTTGTCATAGGGATATGATTTACAAATTGAGAAGAAAAAAAAAAAAAGAGTCTTCAAGCACATTTATCTCATTTATCTTCTTCTCCCTTATCCTTCTCTGGATTAGTGTGGAAAGAAAGGACCCATTGGCAGCCCTGGCCCGGGAGTATGGTGGTTCAAAGAGGAATGCTCTGTTGAAGTGGTGCCAGAAGAAGACAGAAGGTTACCAGGTAATCTGGAGAATAATTCATCATTATCCTATTTGTGTGCAGTAAGCAGCGTCACTTCAAAGAAATATATGTATTTCAGTCTGCTACTGTTTACGTGTTTACTTCTACTGGACATTTTCAACCTCTTCCTTTCTCCAGTATTACATGGTCATAAATGATTCATTTACAAATGCTGAAATACTTGCTGTATCAAAGGTCATTGAAGGTAAGAAGCAAAGTGTACATGAGCAGCAGCTCCAAGCTGGGCATCAATTTTAGAAATGCTGTTGTAATGATTTTTTTTTCTATAGGCTTCTGTGCTGTGCTGTTGTGTGTGTTTTTTCATTGGTCACTTCTATAAAATCAAATAAATATTTCCTCCTGTGACCTTAATCAAATAGAGCTTGCTACTTAGGGCTCAGGTCTTTGTAATCAGCTGAAGCTCAGTAGAATTATAGCTTTGTGGAAAACAAATTTTGACTGCTTAAGAAAGTGTCGTTTCTTTGCAGGCTGATTTTCACTGCCAAACAGGCACAACACCGTGACCGGTTCTTGTATGGCCATTGCTGTGCTCATCCAGCTCTAGCTGGTGTTTGTATACAGCTGAGTTAGACCTTTGGCTTTACTTGTAACTGAGCTGTAGCTGGCAGTTATAGACAACAGTTCATCCTGTGTTAGATACTGGGTGTGTAGGATATTCTTGGTTTGATATAATGTTGAGATTTTTCTTTCTTAAGAATAATATTGTTTGTTACTTAGAGCAGAAGACAAAAGCATTTGTCACCACATGATATGCACCCTGGAACAAATCTTTAATAAAAGCAGAATCTATCTATTAAAGTAAATAATCTTTTTTTTTTTTTCATGACTAGCTCTTTATGAAACACTGGCTATACCAGACAGGAGTTTGGGAGAAAAAAAAAAGACAGTAGATTTTCCTTTAAATAAACTGATCTAGAAAAGTTTGAGAGTCATATTGTAGCACTGGCATATTCATGTAGCTCAAACAAATTTCACAGAAGGACAGATATCAGAGAAGGCTCTTGACTTTATACACCCTTAGCAGCAATAAAGACAGGATTAGAGTTTGGTCTCTGATCATGTGTTATTGCTTGAAAGGCTATAGTGCTGTCTCCTGAAGTTGCACATTCTGTATTTTGTTAGATTTGTACATATTTATGTCTCAACTCTAAAATTCTCCTGGTCTTGATTTAAAAGGTGTGGGGGGAACGTTTCCATCCAGCCCTCAGAAAATGATTATGAAAGACACCTTTTCCAAGTCTAACTTCCATTTAGTCAGCAAGCTCCTCTTTTGATTGAGAATCTCTCCCTGTAGTGTTGTCCAGTTCCGTTTAAATGTCATATATGATGAGCATCCTCCACTTCTCTTAGAAGAGTCTAGCTCATCAGAGTTCACTGTTAGAAGCAATCTTTGAAAGGCAGCCTATAGTTTCCTTCCTCTGATTACATCCAGGCAGAACTAAGGGTACAGCTTTCAGAAGTTATTATGTGGCTTTGCAAATACATAAGCCTGCCCTGATTCTGCAAGTACCAAAGTGGCACCAAGAGTGATACATATTCTCTCCCTGATAGAAAAGAGGAGTTTTGTTTTTTTATGCTGAACCCAAGTAGTGGGGCCAACTGTGTATCAGATAGCAGGCCACCCAGGAGGTGTGCAAGGCAGTCTGGGTCTATTTATTTTTCCTTTTATTAGCCTCTGGAGGAAAACATGTCCACAGTTCAGAGGATGGTGGAAGTCTTAGCTTTATATATGGCTGCAGGCATGGTATTGCTACTGACATGACTGTCCAGATGACATTGAAGAAAAAGCTTTGTTATTTTGGTTCCTTCTCTGATGAGGCTCTTGTTCTGTTGCTGGTTGTCCTCTGTCATTATTCTTTCTGAAGCAGCAGAATGAGTTTTCTGCAGTTTTTGGAAAAAGCAGGTACAGCATTGACAAACACTGCACGGACCAGAAGAGTTTGAGGAGTTCAGACTGCGAGGCAGTGAAGGGCTTTATTGCCCAGAGTGAAAGATCTCGGGGCAGCAATTAGACAGAGGAACAAAAAGACAAACAATGTATTGATTTATGGTGAGAGTCCCACCGCTCTATCCTCACTTCTTCATTTAGAGGCGTTATCATTTGGACATTCCTCCTCAGATTCTCATTCCCATCATGCTCTTTGCGGTACATTCACTAACTCTTGAACTTGCTTTTCCCTGACCCCTGCACTCTCATGATAGGGCTGATATTAAGCTCCACAGGGAGTTTTTATCATTCTTGAGTACAAAGAGCTGGAGTGGAGTAAAAAACATCGTCCTCCTTCCTGCCTTGGCTGCTGTACTGGTGGGAATGAAGTAATGAACTCCACCAAGCAGTACCCTGGTGATGTGCGTGACTTCTTTTCTGCATGCAATACCCACGTCTGTGAGGCGTTATCTGTGCAAACCCTCAGTATACTCATGTCATGTTCTTTCTGACATGAAGCCCAGAATCACAGGTAGCTTTGGATGCCACTGTTTTCAGCTCCGTGATGCAATGGAATGAGAGAATAAAGGACGTGCCACTTGGCTGCCTCACTTCATTTTTTTAGTGAGATAGTGTACTGCCTTTAAGTTCCTGATCTGAGTGGTTGAGGAAGAGGGAGAGTCCTTTCTGTTTGAATTGTAGAGATATCCTATTTCATCAAGTCGTATGGACAAAATAGATTAGAATAACAGATACTCTCAATAGCAGCTACCACCTATGTCCTAGATTCCCTGAGGAAAGCTGGATTAGCGACCTAGGAGAGTATCTGGGGATAAGACCTAGGGACCAGCGCACAAGGCTCTGCTTTTTAAATGCTTTAATCCATACAAGGCTTATACTATAGATAGAAATTTACATCCTGATAATAGCATATATCCTTACATCGACTACAGTGGGAACATTCCCGGCTTTGAACTTCAATGACTTCCCCAGGAGGAAATCTCATAAAACATGGGAGAGACATTGGAGGGGGTTGAGAGAAGTGCAACACAAATGATTAGTGGCCTGGAGGGTTTGATTAAAAAAAAAAAAAAAAGTGTGTGAGTTCACAGTAACTGAGAGGAAACATGAAAACATCTATGTCTCTCTAATCTAGTATGACGTTTCTAAGATCTTTATTTAAGTGGTGATTTGATATCCAAAAATGAATGAACACTGAGGAGAAACAGTAATTATTTAGAAAATGAAAATAGAAGCACTGTAAAGAAAATAAAGGTGAAATTAAGTTTAATGGCTCGGAGAAAAAAATATGAAAGTGAGATCTCATCAACTATGGCATGGTCTACCATATGAATTGCGATTGTCCTATTTCAGTGCCTGGATGAATGTTATCTGGCATTTTGGGTATTGATTTTGAATAAATGTGCAGAGCAGGATTTAAAAAATCTCAGCAGTAAAAATAATTATACTGAAATAAGGCTTTGGGCTCACTGGCTTTCTGCTAAATTTTCTGGAGGAAAATCTCCGGGTGAAAAAAAAACCTCTTAATCTAATGTCTGTTCATCTATAAGAAATGTGCACTTGCATATGGTCTCTCTTGCTAGACATGCATAGGCTGTTCCTTCTGCGTCTCTGAAGTTGTTGACATCATGGTGTATAATGTAGGGTGATGCGATGACCGAACTTGAGAACTGCTTTTGTGGCTCTGGATCTCAATTACCACAAGTCTTGTAGACCACAAAGCCTGCTGAGAGTAAGTTATTTATGTTAAAATAGCCTTTTCTCTGTTGTCTTGTGTTTTTTCATCTATTTAAAAAGATTATGCATCTTAGCAACAGTGTGAATTAGAAACTGGGTGCCTCTTTTCTAATAGGCTCTGTTCTCATGAATCTTAACTCCTGGAAACTGCTGAGAGTCATTCTTGTTGCATTATCACCTTCCATAATCGTATCATTAGTGACTGTGGTGTTATTTAAGTGCCCTGGTTCTGCTTGCTTTCTGTGGAGACCATTTGTCAAGGGGCCAAACTTAGACTGAGTCTATTACTATCTACAGATGTATTGTGAAAACACAGAACATCAAGAGGCACTTAACCCATGGACATTAGAACTGAGGCTTATAGTATCTGCCACGCATGCCCGGTCCAGACAGGGGAGGGAATTGCTACCATGTTAATGAATATGGATTGCTTAGAAGAACTGTTTTCATGTTTTTTTCCAAACACTACACATCCATCCTATGGCACAGAGAAAAAGAGTCTGAGACTGACTCTTTGCTCTAGTGCACCGTCATGGCTATTCTTTTTATCAAAGTTATACTTGGCTTAACAGGACCCATCTGGGATCATCTTCTTGAGGAACCACCATCTTTTATAATAAGATTATCTGTGCAGCTGTCTTAAGTAGAGGAATGCTAAATAGGAGGACACAAGGAATGCTCTAAAATTGACAAAGGGGAAATGGCTGCTATACCTCTGAAGATCTTTATATTTCATGTATCTCTACCTGTGCATTCAAGCCATTGCATTACATTATCTCCCTGACTGTGATGGTGTCAGTGCACCTTCTTGTGCATAGTGGCACTGGACATCTTCAAGAGAAGAGGCAGTGCTCTCCAAAAGCACTGACACCAATCTGAGATGACTGATAAGTGTCTTATTGGTATTTGAGGGACCAGTCTAAGATCGTATTTCACAATATCTGGAGGAACCTCAACAGCATGCAGAAGCTACTAACCAGAGCGCTCTTTAGCCTGGCTTTCCTGTCAAAGAAGTTGGTCCTGGAAAAAATAATTCCTTAAAAATTTTCTGCATAAAATACTCTTGCAACTGTGAGCAAAGCGCAAAGTAAATGGTTTATTTGTTTCAGCGCCTTGCTTACGGTCACTTGACTTTGAAGTAGGTCCTACGAACACTGTGCAGTTTCGGAGAGTATGCTTAGGAGTATGTAGCAACTATTTTGAGGCCAGTACTCTCAAACATTGTGTTGTCTCCCATTTGTTTAGTCTAAATTAGCAAAGTATAAAAATCTGTATGCCCAGCAGTTCTGGACAT